TATCCTGATTTGCAAAGAGTTTGATTAATTCAACCATGCACTAACCCACAGAAATGACCGAGTTCAGGTTTGCGCTGCCAGTTTGCTCCTACCACAGTGCATCTACCACTGCGGTCACCACCTAAAGTGAATCCATTCCCCCTCTTGTATGAGTTAGGCTTGTGACCCTCTAAGTATCACTCTTACAAACTGTGACCTTTAATAAGGATCCTAGCTCTAAATCAAAGAAATTGAGTCTGCTGCTTTTAAGACATTACTAGGTACATTTTTATAAAGGTTGAACAGCCATTAGTAATTTAATTAATACACTTATTTTAATAAAAGTTATCCTCCCTAAAATATGTTTGTAAAGACATGCAAGAAACAGATATTGACCCCTAAAACACAATTCAAATTTTATAACAGAGAGTAGAAAAACAAAATTTATTTCCAAAAGCTGTGCTTCTAACAAATTGTTCCTTAATGTATCTCCCCACTAACCCTTGATTCACTAATGGTCCTTAAGGGTACCAGAACTCTTGTAGAAAAAAAAAATGTGGTCCAAGTTGTTGAAATATCCAAATAGCCTTGTATCCAAATAGCCCATGACATTTTAGTCCTTCCCAGTGTAGCGTTTCACTGGAAAATATCACCTTGCAGAGAAAAAAATTGCAGTGATGAGTACGTAAGTACTACAAAGTTGAACTACACCTTGAAAGTACTGAACGTCATTCTCACCTTATTTAGAAAGCCAGCAAAGCTACCAGACCTAGAGAATTTAAACTGCGATCTGGTCTCAAATTAGGTAAGACAACATATATGTTCATCTATGTATCAGTGACATGTAACTTTCAACAACATATTCGCTACACTTCCTGTCTCACATTCTCAACAAATCATCACTGATTTCAAGGAGTAGACTGAAGCCACCTTGAGCCTCCCCGATGACATTGCTTTCCCCCATTTACACCTTTTCAGCCATCTCTCAAAGTTCAGAGGAAACAGTGGCCTTCCTGTTGCAGAGTGTCTTGGTGTGCTTTCGGTTTATCTCTTCCCAAGCACTGAGAGATATTTCGCCAACCCATATTCAGCCATACTCAGAACCATCCCATGATCGGAGCTCCTGTTTCCCATCTCCAACTAAGAAAGGATATTTCACTTGACTGCTTCTTATTATGAAAGCCTCCTCCTTGCGCTACCCTCCCACAACCAGCTCTACAAGTTACACTTTCCAACTGTACCAGAGCAATTCTCAAGCATGTCACTCACCACTGTGGAAACGTTCTCTAGTTCACTAATTTTTACCACATCCAGTCTAACTCCTCTGCCAGGCTTTTGGGCTCCAAATTATGATTCCTCTAATCCTTGAAAATATGACTTCATTAACATTCCCACAAACCCCCAGACATGTACCTTTCCCTTAGCCTTTGACTTTCACTCATATTTCTCCCCCTGCCAAGAATATACTTCTCTTTCCTGCCAACTGAAACATGCACTCAATAGTCAGCTCAGGTCCCATTTCTCTAAAAGATTTCCCTTTCCTTTCCGACATCCCACATGGGTGTCCTACACACTCCAGTTAGCCTTCAGTTGAACAGGATTCTCTCACTTCTAGTATTCTCCGTACATTTAGCTTAAGTACTTCTGGGCCAAAGACCTAATGCTTACAGGATATTTTAAATCTCTCTTAGTAACTAACATAGAATGTACCACATACTATTTAATAAATACCAATAAGATTATTGTATAAGATTATATATCATCTATCTTCTCAAAACCTCAGGATCACTTTTGAATTTACAAATAACAGATATTTTTCTATAAACTAACTGCATCTTTGGAACAACAAGAACAGCAGTCCTAAGAAAATTAGAAAGGGAAGAAAGTGTTGCTTTTCAGAAACAGATTAAAATGACAACTTATCCATGGGATTTCTGCATGTCTTGTAACTGCTTCTATCTCAGACTCTTTGCAAGGATATTGCAACCTTGGAATCCAGGGATAATGCCTCCTTCCAGGTTAGAAGACAGATTTGTTTCCTGACCAGGAAAATAAAGATAATGCCTCCCTGCAGAGCAAAGGTTGGGCAGCTTTACTAGATACTCCTTAAAAGACAGGGGATTGCCTAACCTTGGAGTTCCTCAGCCGTGACACAAACCCCAAGTGCAAGCATCTACCTGGGTCACTCAGCATTATCCCTGGGGGATTTGGGGACAAGGGGAACCGATGAGAACATGAAGCTCATGCTGCCTGAGTAATAAAATCCTTTATCTCTGACCCAGGAGTCTCCTGTCTTCAGCCAGCATCTATGTAACTGGGGCAGGCTAACTTGGTAGCCTGAAAACTGGGTCAACTCACAAACCCTTTGTAGTTTTGGACAACTTCTGCCTATTAACCAAAAGTAAGTCTGTTTAATTAGGAGTTTCTAGTTTACAAAAAAAAAAAAAAAGTAAACAGAAGCTACCACATCACATTCTACATATCTAACATTCAATGACATGGATGAATCTCAAAAACAACATGCTGAGTGAAAGCAGCAAACTCAAAAGTGTGAGGACACCATGATTTAATGATATGAGGTTCTACCACATGCTAAGGTTAAGTGAGAGACATCAGAATGGTGGCTGCTTCTTAGGAGAGTCCCGGATGGAAATGGAATATAACAGAGAAGGAGTTTCTGGGGTGATGGAATGTTCTATGTTTTGACTGGGGTGCTGGTTACAAGGATACAATAGTCAAAAGACATCACATACTACAGTTAAAAACTGTATGTTTTAATGTATATAAATTATGCTTGATAAAAAAAGCATTACAAGTTCTAAATATCTAAATACTGAATATATTGCAGTTTCTTTTAGTTTCAGGATATAATGATTCACAGGTTCACACACATTCTTTGAACATCATCTTTAGCAAGGCAGCTGCAACACAGGGATTTAAGAGTAAGCACTCTGGAGTAATACTGCTCAGGTTTATGCCTGGATCTTTAACTGTTAGCTAGATACCGTCAGGCAACTTCCTTAACCTCTTCATGCCTGGATTTTATCCTTTTAAAGATAAGTACAGTTGACCATTGAACAACACTCGGCTTAGGGGCACTGACCCCCTGCACAGTCAAAAATCCACATATAACTTTTGACTCCCCAAAAACTTAATAGCCAACTGTTGATTGGAAGCCTTACCAATAATGGAAACAGTCGACTAACACATATTTTGTATGTTATATGTATTATATATTATATTCTTATAATAATATCTTTTTCTTAATTTTTTGTCTTTCCAGGCTACACAGTTTGTCTGCAAGTTTTTTTCCAATTGTCAGAAATCTCAAAAATATTTTCCAATAGATTTATTTTAAAAAGTCCACATATAGGTGGACCCACACAGTTCAAACCCATGTTGTTCAAGGGTCAACTGTATAAAAAAAGTTCCTACCTGTGGTTATGAGAACTAATGAGGTATTATAGGTAAATTGCCTTGTACACAGAAAGCGTTCTTTAAAGATAATTGTAATTATTATTTATTTAGAGACAGTGATAACATAAGATTCAAAGTAATTCAGGATATCTCTGTTAAAGTCAAAGAGCAATATGCTTTTTTTTTAAAGATTTTATTTATTTGACAAAGAGAGAGAAAGCAAGAGAGGGAACACAAGCAGAGGGAGTGGGAAAAGGAGAAGCAGGCTTCCTGCCGAGCAGGGAGCCCGATGCGGGGCTCGATCCCAGGACCCTGGGACCATGACCTGAGCCGAAGGCAGTCGGTTAACCGACTGAGCCACCCAGGTGCCCCAAGCAATATGCTTTTAAAAATCTAGTAACTTTAATGTACATTCATTAGTGGGAATCTGAGGTAGAATATTTCTTATAATAATACCACCCCAAAGTCATTTTATTATATAATCTAATAAAGCAACAGATCTATAGCACAATTTTTTACACGCTATTGAAAGCACAGAAAGAAAAAATTAAGTCAAATAAATGCCACTTTTGGTGAATGTCTCAAGTCCAGATAGACATGTCTCATTTACTTTCTGACAACTATATTGTTAGACTTTTTTGTCCTTTTTTCCCTAATGTAATACATGAGAAAGTTGAAGTTCCAGTTGAATACTAATCCCGACCTTGCCTAAGGAGTAAATTGAGGACAAAACTTTTGAAAGACAAGCCTCAAGGAAATATGTGAAAGGACAATATCTGGAGTAGGATAGCACAAATACAGGGAGAGTGGGACAAAGTGGTGAACTCTCAGTGATGGAAAAGCACTTTGGTAAAGGACAAAGCAAACAACAGGGATCAAACTTCATGGCTCTGCTGATCAGGCCACACTCTATCTTTAGCATATATGCCACTGGTTAATGTCCCCATAAAAGGGTGTGTGTGCCACAGAATCACCTGAGAACTGTGCTCTTTAAGATTATTCCCGAGATTTCAAAAGGAAATATAATTAGGAAAGAGGAAATAATAAGCAATAATGACACAAAATTTCTATCCTTTTAAAATTCATTTTTTTTTCAATTTTTGTTACTGCATCATTAAAATAGTTCTAACATTTACTATGCACTCCATTAAAAGTACTTCCAGGATTTCATATCCATTATTATATGTACGACATATAAGGAATCTTATGTCACTGAATTGGCATATGAGTGGAAACTTTCAGTGTAAAAGAGAATGTAATTAAGTCAATTAAAAACGCAAATTCCTAGGAAACAAGTCAAGTCATTGGATAACACAGGAGGAACGAGCCTATTGGGTTACTGTTTTCAATCTCCCCACCAGGAAAATGTTGAAGCAGAGTGGTATTACTGAGTATATAGTTAGAGAACTGACTCAGGCCTCCTGGCAAACATCTTTTCTTTGCTTAAGAATTACAATACTTGGGGTACAACAGTAACCCAACCAAAGATGAGTTTCAGACTTTGAAAGAGCTGGCTATTAAAAACAACAACAACAACCACCACCTACAACTGTTTTAATCTTTAAGCCTTTTTCTCACATTTCTTCTTTTTTAAAGTACAACAGTAGTGTACCCTGCGCTCCACACAGGAAGTGGAAAGAAAAGAGATTGCAATCCCTCCCAAACTATACTTTATCTAAGAGGCGGCATTACAGAAGAGGTTACCACGCACTTCAGCGATCCACTGTGATTGTGCAGACAACAAAATGTTATAGGGGGAAAAAAGCATTTTAATGACAACTACATTCAGTTCTATCTAAAAAGCAGGTGCGCACACTTACATATGTAAATTCAATAAAGTTCACACTTCCTTTCTTGCCAGACTTGAATAGTTAATTCGAAAACTTGGCTTTTAATTGCACTCGTGGACTCCTCAAACTGAACAAAGTATTGTGTACAAAAACATTTACTACTGACAAAGAAATATATATAATCATTAAAAAAACTTCGACTTTTCTTCCTTGTAAAGCAGTTTTTTCCATCCCTGAGGACTTCCAGGTGTGAAGTGAAGAAAATGAACTCTTTTTCCTAGAGCAACTCTCCTAGAACTGCCTATTTAAGTTTTGATCTAAAAAGAGAAACTTGTCCGTTTTCTACTTGCTACTCATCTCTACCACAACCCTTTGATATGAACAGTCTGAAGAGAGCCAAGTTTTTACCCGTGTTTCAAGGAGATGGAGGCGTGTTATTGGCCATTGGCCAGTGGATCAGGATCCACAGTTGTCGTCCAAATTAAAAACCTGGGGTCAAAATATTCTAGACTCCCCCCTCTCCTTCCTTCCCAAATTCGAATTGGCCACTGAGATAGGACTGTACTTCCCCTCCAGCCCCTGTACTTCCCCTCCAGAATAAGGTCCAGGCCTTATTCTGGACCTTACCACTTCTACTTCAGCTGCTGCCTTTGTGGACTTTCTACCTTCAGTCTTGGCCCTCTCAAAGCTATTTTAACCCATACTGCCCACCATAGCAATTGTCTCAAGAGTAAATCTGACCTTGCCACAGAACACATGATCTGTTCTTGACTACTGATAAAGTTAATTTGTGTATCAGGACCCACAGAATGGAGGCAGGCCCAGCGACCTGGCCCACATCACAAATCCAAACTTCAGTCAGCCTGCACTTAAGGGGAAACACCTGTCAAGGAAATTTAACATATACAAATCACAATCCTCCAACTCTGTTTTAGCTAGTTTACCTTATATTAGAAAAAAGGACCTGCTATCCTTATAAAGGAATCCCTAACTCCTAGCCAATCATGCTTGTTTCCCTGTTGCCTCTTCTAATGTTTTTTAAAACTCACACTTGCCCAAAATTCCTTGGGAAGGATGCTCCAACTACTTGTGAGCACTGTACTCCCCGAATCAAGGACTGTTTTCCCGTGAAGAAAGGACATCAAACTGATTACTAAATCGTCTTAGGTTTTGCAAATTGCCAGTATTGCAATGAGATGGGACCTGAAGACAGCTGCTAAAGATTCTGGGGACGGCTTCTAGAAGCAGGTGAAGGTACCCAGAAAGCTATTTTATTTGTTGCCTCTCCGACTACTCTGGTAAGCTTCTCTCTGATCAAGTTCTGCTTGTTTTGCATTCTGAGCTCCTCAAGTTTGTTCACCTTATTCCTTCCAGGTGAAAAGCTGGGGTGTGAGAGCCTTCAGGTTTTCACAGTGAGACTTAGTGAACCACAACATTTAGGTTTGTGGCCAAACTCATGTACAAGGTAAGCACCTTTGTGGGGAGTCCTTACAAGTCTCAGGAACTGTGCAGGCAGCCAGCAACAGTAAGTCTCGTTGAATTATGATGGGTTATTTCAAGAGAAAATAATGGTTACCCCTCAGTCTAAAGAAAGCAAGATGGCAGCCACTGGGGGGACAGGATTCATAAAGCTTCAAGGTAAGTCCACAGCACAAACTGCTAGGAAACTTGGGGAAGGGAATTAAGAAAAGAAATTCAGACTTTTCTGACCAATGACACATCAAAATCTAAGTAGGTGCAAGTTGGACTATTAAAAGCCATTGGGGGGGCACCTGGGTGGCTCAGTCGTTAAGCGTCTGCCTTCGGCTCAGGTCATGATCCCAGGGTCCTGGGATTGAGCCCCGCATTGGGCTCCCTGCTCGGCGGGAAGCCTGCTTCTCCCTCTGCCACTCCCCCTGCTTGTGTTCCCTCTCTAGCTGTCTCTCTCTCTCTGTCAAATAAAGAAAATAAAATCTTTAAAAAAAAAAAAAAGCCATTAGGGTATCCACCACTATAAAGACATTTTCTTGTGAAAGGAAGAACAGATCTATTCCTAATGGGGATCTCAGAAGCCAAAACCACAGAATTGGTGGGCATGGGCACCTAAAAGCTCTTGGAGTGTTTGACACCTAACTGGAAGACTCCCGTGCTAGGATGAATTGATCACAGAATGGGTTAGATCGACACTAAGCCACGTGCCAACCTCAAGAAAACTTCTGTGTAACAAGGCACACTGTAAAACACCACAAAATCCCCAACCCAATGGTACATCCCTCTTAGGTATTAATTCGGCTCTCAGAGACCCAAAGCTTCACTAAAGAAATGGGATCCTCAAGTTCCAAAGAATTAAGTGTGCCATCTTCCAGCACAAATGTTTATGACTAAGGACTGTGGTCCCTGAAGTTGTAGGTATCTACAAAAATGGCCAAATCTGACTAAGACAACCTAGATTTAAAATGGCCTTTATGGGGAATATTCTTTTTTTTTTTTTAAGATTTCATTTATTTATTTGACAGATACATACATAGCGAGAGAGGAAACACAAGGAGGGGGAGTGGGTGAGGAAGAAGCAGGCGCCCCTATGGGGAATATTCTAATTAGACAAGATCATTCATTTAAAAAGTGAACTTGAAAGTAAGTGTTCCCAGATCAAACAAACAGAAGAGTATGCCTATTTTAACTGGCATGCAGAAGCCTTTGAAAGGCTTCAAAAATAGCCTCATGGAAAGATTTATTGCAAAAGACTAAAAAAAATCAAGGACACAAGAGGTACCTAAAACAAAAGACTATAAGAATTAAATGACTTCTACTACTCCCTTCTACCCTCCTTGACCTCAGTACTCACTAATCCTCTATCTGTACTGCCTTTCCACTCTAAATAGACTACATGACCATAAACAAAAGTCTGCCTATATCCAGATTATAATGGCCTATATCCAGAGGCCCCTGTATCTACTACCACTTGGGCCCCTTTCAGGGTTGATGGGACTCCAAGGGATTCTCCAGTAAACTGCTACCAGTATTCCCTTAAACAGCCAAAGGGAAATTAAAATAAAATTAATAAAAAAAACTTTGCCAAATTCTGGTAGATACCTCAGCTTCACTCTCTACTTCAAACCCCACTCACTCTGGAGCCTTGGAGAAGGGATCAGGGGAAAACTGACAGAAGCCAGGGAAGGGGGAAGATTCTTACCAGAATCAGCTCTCCTGGATCTCTGTCTGTAGTGCCTGGTCAAGAGAGGAAGGTAAAATTTCATGTTATCCCTTCCTTTTCAAGATGCATTGGATATTGATCCTTTATCTCCCAAGGACAGCTATTGCCTTCTTATTTATCTCCTTTTGTGTCCTGAGAACTTGGCTTGGCAACCATCAGGTTGGGGGCCCTCAAAATATAGCCAGACAGAAGTGGAGGTTGCACTCCATTTGTGGCTGGTGTCCTACAGACTGTGGCAAGCTCTCAAGGGAATTGTAAGTCTTGATTTGGGTTATCTTTGGGAGTGGCTCTAGATCTTGGGAGAGCAGTATCTTTTGCAACTTCTTTGGGAATGCCTCTCCCATCCAAAAGATTGTTCAATAACTGCCAGGAATATTTACTGCTTGTTCCAGCTAAAACCTGACAAGATATTCAAAAGGACTTTTTTATGGTTAGAAGTTTGCTGATATTGGAGGCTGATATTCAGAACCTCATGAAAACTTTTTTTTAGGCCTATCTGCTAAGCTAAATGAAACTATGTACCCAAATGGAAAGAAAAATATTCCAAAGACAAATAGCTCTGTATCTAGAAGACAGGAATCTTTTGATTTCCATCTTAATTGAAGATCTTCCCCCTGACCTAAAGAAGCAAACAGAAGATAATGTAGTTGGATGGTCGACCCTTTGAAGTCATACCGTTGCAACCCAATTCTTTGAGGAATTAAAAAGAACTGTCCTTGTCATATAAATTCAGTCTTTACAAGAACAGAAATGCAGCTCTAAAAGCAATTCAAAACCCATCTATCATTTTTATCAATCCCCAAACCTCCCCTGCTGATCTATAGAAACTTGTAGCTATTGTAAAATTTTGGATTTAGGAAACAAATCCTCACTGGAGGAGCTTGCGTTCTTTCCTTGTGCCTTTGAGGTGTAAATGTTCTACCCAGTCTTCTCTAGGAACTGAAGGAAATCTGTTTGAAAAGCAAACTTCAGGAGGTAATTCTCATCAGAAGGAAGAAAATAAAGAAAAGTGGGGGAAGCTCTTTGGAACCTAGGCCAATGAAAAATCTTTAAAAAGTGTAAAGCCATCTGAACAGGTCGCCTTAACTTATTCCATCAATTTGGATCCAGCTGTTCTTTTATAAGCTAGTGAGTTTTGCATTATTGTAACCTCAAAATAGCCTTTTTCAGTTTCTAAATTTACGGCGAAGTTTTCTCTAAGATTCAAAATGCCTGTGATTCTGCCCGGTGGCCCAAAGAGGACAGAAGCCCGTTTAGAGAGGTTCCTCCCCCCAGCATGTTCAGAGGCTGTAGGAAAAGGCATCTGGAGACCACAGCGGTTGGGGCAGAATGCAGTCTGTTTCAACACCGACCACGCAACTCTACAAAACGCTCGCAGAGCTCTTGGTAGTGTCCCCAGTAAGTTACAGAGTTTCTTCCTCCCGGGCTCAAAGCTGCTGTGTCTACAACTCAAAACCAGCTCCTGGACCAGTCTCTTGCTCCACCGCGAAGGAGTGGCCACACTTCAAGACGGGCAGGGCAGTCATGATCCCTACAGTGGCCCTCCATCTCTCACAGTCTCTGGTTTTAGAACACAATTTAAATACACCCAGCCTAGTCCAGGACGAGTACAGGAAAACGGGAAGAGCTCACGTAGAGCCCGGGCTGGGTGGAGGCTTACAGAAGCCGGAACATGGGAGCTGAGGCTGACCTGAGGTTATCGTAACGTGGCGGCTGAGGAAACCGAGGCCGAGAGAACGCAGGAGCCCGCCCCGGCTCTTCCGGGAGCCCGTGGGGAAGCCGAGAGCCCCGCTCGGCTCATCTTCTGCCCGTGCTGTGCTGGGGTGCGATGCCCGCAAGTCAGCTCTCTCCTCCGGCCAAGGCCCTGTGCCTCCGGGAGGAGGGCAGCGGGGGGAGGCGGCCACCTGGGGGCCAGGACCAGACTCTTTCCGCAGCCCTCCGGCCGGTGCTCAGAGCGCCCCTGCGTGGACGCCGGCCGAGGGGCCCGCAAACGCGCCACCTCGGGACCCGGGCCCTGCCCGCGCTCCAGGTCGCCCCAGCACGGGCTTCGCGTCGCCCTGGTTTCCATAGCAACGAGGCACGAGCCGCCGGTCTCCAGGGACGCCCCAGGGTCAGAGGTCATCTCTGTGACAACGGAAGCTTCCCGCGCTACGGCGGCTCGGACGGGCCGTTTCCGCCGCATTGCGAAGCGGAGCCCTCCCCGCGCTCCTAAGCGAGGAGCGCGTGGTGGCGGGTCCCGGAGGCTCGGGCCGCGCGTCACACCAGGAGGAACACGGTGCTTGGTCTGCGTGACCCCGGTCTTCGGACTCCATTAGGCAGACTCCGAAGCCGACTTCGGCCGGGACGCCCCGAGGGGCCCGGTTCCTGGAAGCAGATCCGAGTCGCGGAGCGGCCGGCCCGCGGTTTGCAGAAAACGGCGGCACGCGGCTCTGGAAAGCAGGGACACCGACTCTGCCGTGCATTCTGCCAGACCTTGTCCCTGACACACTCCGCGCCTCCCAGCCCGAGGCCACGGCGCCCCGGCGCCCTCCTCCTTCGACGGCGGCTCCAGAAAGGAGAAGCCAAATAGATCGGTGTGGTGGTGGGATGTGCACGGAGCTACCAAGTTTGAAGACGGCTGCTTTGAGACTGGAAAGGATGAAATATTAAGGGAGGGGGGCACCTCCTTTCAAAGCAACTGAACTAGAGGCTGGTCAGGTGCTGTCCCCTCAGGACCAAAACTACGCCACAAAGGAGAGTCCCAGTGACCATCTTCGGATAGAGGAGTTCAGTAAAGAGGAACAATTTACTCGACTGTTTTTGTGAAACGTCTTCCTTTTTAAGGAGAAGCGAATTTAAGACGAGCAAAGAAAAGGAAGGGGACTCTTGCAGGGGGAACCTAATGGTGCCCTCACATTCGCTCTTCCAAGGCTGAGAGGACCAGAAGGGGAGACTGCGGTTGGCTCTTGAGCTTTTTTTTTTTTTTTTTTAAGATTTTATTTATTTATTTTGAGAGAATGAGAGAGAGAGCGAGCGAGCATGAGAGGGGGAGGGTCAGAGGGAGAAGCAGACCCCCCGCCGAGCAGGGAGCCCGATGCGGGACTCGATCCCGGGACTCCAGGATCACGACCTGAGCCGAAGGCAGTCGCTTAACCAACTGAGCCACCCAGGCGATGAGCTTATATTTTTGAGTGAGGCCTCAAGTTTTGAGATTTTTAGGAAGAGGGTATTATAAAATGTGGGCCTAGGGAATGTCAGCTAACCAAGTTTCAGGATGCGTTATCAGGGCAGGATGAAGAGCTAGGAGTCCACTAACAACTTTTTCCTTCTCTCTGTTTTATCGTTAAGAAACCAAATTCTTGGTTGGCACTGTTGGAAAGGAGTCAGCATTAAGTGAACTTAAGCTACTATAATTTATGATACCTGCAGTTACATACCCACAGTGAACTTTCACAAAGAATCCTATTTTCACTATTAATTCACTTAATAAAAATGTACTGAAGACCTGCTACATATCATAACTAAAGTTTTTGTCAGGGAACAATGATAAAGGCAATAGTGCCCAACAATTGTTGGGTGACTTTCTTAGATAGTTTAGTAGATTAGATAAACAAAAGCTTCAGTTTCCCTGTGAAACATGTCAACATTACGCCTCCCTTTTGCCTTCGCAAGACCCTAAGAATGCCTTCTTTCAACTTCCCTTTTGTCATCCTACCCGGCATCTCACCAAAGCAGAAAGTTAGTTTGAAGCAACTAGAGAAATACACAGGAAAAACACCAGGACACTACTTGGCCCTTAAAAAGCAGAGTAGCAAAAACATTAGTGCATCTCTGCAGTGTCTGGTTTAAAACTTAATAGAGGAGGGAAAAAAATCTTTTTTTTTTTTAAAGGTTTTATTTATTTATTTGTGAGAGAGAGAATGGGAGACAGAGAGCATGAGAGGGAAGAGGGTCGGAGGGAGAAGCAGACCCCCCGCTGAGCGGGGAGCCTGATGTGGGACTTGATCCCGGGACTCCAGGATCATGACCTGAGCCGAAGGCAGTCGCTTAACCAACTGAGCCACCCAGGTGCCCTGGGAGAAAAATCTTAATAGAGAAGCTTTAAATGTACTGTTAAATTCCAACAGTCTCGCCTTAAGGCGTAAGAAACTATTTTGAATAAATGCTTCCATTTTGAGACATCTACATGGTATTTATAGGAGGATTATGAGTCAATTGAGTGAGTTATGATGCCAAAATGTACAAAGGAGTGAAAACTTTGATTGTTGTCCTTGTTGCCATATGTATAAAAACACCACAAAAGTCCCCAATGTTTGTGTTGCTAAAACATGGAAGACTGGGTTTGAACATTTTTGAAGAAATAGTTTCATGTGGGAAATGTTAAATATAGTACAAAATTACCTTTAGCGCCTTCTGAAAGCAATTTTTGAAAATTTGAACAAATATCTCAGTTTTAGATGCTGTCTAAGATGAGAATAGGCTGGATATGGGTACAGCCAAAGTCATCCTCATTGTTAAAACCAAGTTGAGATTATCATGCATTGGATTTCACACTTGTTAACTTGGATATCATTTCAAAAAAGAAAAATCCACTCTCCCAACAAGTCAATACTTGGAAACCTATCTAAAATGCTGTCCTTTGGTTCATGAAGTGCCACTGTTCTGCAAACCCATTTTGCTACTTCAGTAACTAAAGCCTGTTGGATGGAGTCCAAGGCCAGCTCTGATTACATGGAATCCCACTCTAAAGGCAAGCATGTCAGTAGGAGAAGAACCTCACAGCTGTTAGGTGTTCTAGCCATGTAGTCTGAACTTGCTGTCTCCACTGGATACATGCTTAGTGTTTAGAAATGCAGAGGTTGTGGCCCATACGTGGCTCACCCAGCTCTACAGGAACCCAGGATGAGTTGGCAGACTGAGAAGGGGAAGGAGTAAAAAATGCTTACTTCCTTTTTTCTTCTGTCTCTCCCTATTTTCCCACTTCTAAAATGCCATGACAGCCCTACATGTAAAGCAAGTAGTTTTAAAAGGATAACATATATTTAAATGAGTAACAGAGGCGTACCAGATGTTTTGGGCACCTAAAACAGCTTCAGTGAAAGGCAAAAGCAAAGCTGAAAGACACCAAAACAAGTAGGAAATAGAAAGTGACGATGAGTTCTACCAAGCCCTGCTTGTTTCATCTCCAAGTTATATGGAGGAGAGAAAGACTGAGTTCAGAAAAGGAGACCCTCTGGGCCACGAGTTTTGGGATTTTCTAAATGTGCTCTGTTGAACTCGGTCTAGATGAGTTTGGGGATTTTCTAAATGTGCTCTGTTGAACTCGGTCTAGGACTTCTGCTTCGTACCCTCCCTTCCACTCTCACTGCTCAATAAAATTATCTTTGATTACAACTTATCTTAAATTCTGTGCTTTCCAAAACCCTATCGAGCCAAGAAAGTTTGGGGGTCTCGTGAGTGTGGTTCAATGGGTGTATATATTCAAGGCTCTGTGGCTTCCTTTGCTTGCTGTAGATGATGTGTCTAAAGAGATATCCATGACATGACCTTAGTGTTTCCCTTTATCGTGGAATTTTTTTTTTCCAACCACATTTCTTAGCAACTGTCACTCAAAGTCTAGTGACCTAGATTAGTACCAAACTGGCCTGTGATACACATTGGTCAGTCCAAACTATCATTGCTGGTTTAAAGAAACATATCAAGCCCTCCTCCAGGCTAAATAAGTGCCTTGGACTTAGTATTCCCTATCTAATGATTTGCCAAAAATACAATCACCTTGCATGACTCATAAATGAAAGCTGAAGCAGGTAACATTTATTCTAAACATACAGCTACTGCTCTACTAGGAAAATAGGGGAAAGTAGGACATTTAAGCATGCATGTGTTCTCTGCTAATAGTTGTATTGTGAGATACTGGACAGTTTCTATGAAGATGGTAGATTTACTTTATATGTAGGATTTCCAAGCTATTGCAATTTATTTTAAAAAGCATATATTGTGTAAGTATGTTCTTCATGTCCTTTTCCAATTAAATTTTACATAAAAACAACTACAAAAAAAGGTTAAATTAATACCTCTTATTTAAATGCTATTAACTTTTGGGTGGATAAATAACTTTGTCCTTAAGTTCATGACTCTATTATCTACTTATTTTCACACCAACATAACTATATAGCAGTGCCCTAAAAGTCCTCCCAGGAGCCTTGACCAAACTACCCATACTTGTTGACAATTTAAAAATTAAGACTAATCAGTAATTTATTCTATAACTTGCAAAGATTGAGAAGAATTATTAATCTAAGAAGGCTTCACACCAAATTCATGATCCTACTACTGGTACTTGGAGGTATTCTGCCAAGCTTCTTAGTTTGAAACCAGTTAATTGTCCTCATTTTAGATTTAAGATAACATAATAGGTAGTAGTCAATCTGTTCTTTCTGGTTTTAACAGTTAAGAAGATTTTAGTCTTTGTTTTATTTTAATTACCCAATTAACTTCTTGGTTATACTGCTATCTTGGGATCAAAAACCTGCAAATGATTTTAGGCTTCATGCTAATAGCAGAAGGAGAATGGAACCTACCAAGTACAATGCAGAAAAGGAATGGCTAAGCATGGCTTTGATTTGAGTTCAAAAAGCAAAACTTTTAGAAGATGAGATAGTGTGACACATTAATGTCACATTTTTAAAATAATTTACAAATACTCCCATTTCCAGGTTGGAACTCTAACTTCTGGCAATCTAAGACCACACTATCCTGTTAGAATAGTTGGTGATGTTGTCAGACACGCTTTGAATTAACCCATCAATTCACACCCAAGTACTTTAACATTCATAAGCTGCAAAATAAATTACTCTAAAAATAATTTGCCATTTGACATCTTCCAAAATGCCTTGAAAGGGAAAAAAATCTACTTTATTCTAGAGAGATGCAAGTGGGTGGGGTGGGGGAGGTGTAATAAAAATATCTTGCACCGTGTGTGTAGGGGGGGAATTCGTTTCCAGTAAAACTGCTTACCAAAAAAATTATAAAAGAATCTTTTCCCCATTCTCCAGTACTATAGAGGGACTGACTTTAAGGTCCCTAAACAAATGGCCGAGTCTTAAAAAAAAAAAAAAAAAAAACTGCTTTTACAGGATTCCTTTCTCAGAAGGGAGCTAAATCCACAGGACACGAGAAGGCTTCAAAACCCACTATTTTTACTGCCTGAAGGCGCGAGCCCTCCCTCCCAAGAGCAGCCCTGGGCTTGTCCCACTTGGGTAACTCTTGCAAAAAGGCTCTTCCCATTAACTTGAGAGACAGGAGTGTTGCAGCTCTAGGTATCACCAAAACATCAGCAAGTGTTGGGCTCCATGCGGGACTGGGCTACACCTCACAGTTGAATTAGAAATGGGGTGGTAAGGTGACAATACCGCTTTCTCCTTGGGCAATGCTCAGGATGGTGGTTATCAGTTCAGAGTTGCTAAACGCTGAGGAGTTGAGAGAGAGAAGGGTAAAAGGACAGGGAATGGAGGAGCACGGTGAGAAGGGAGGGAGAGGGAGAAGAGGGAACTGAGGGCGACGGTGAGAAAGGGGTAGAGCTACAGCGCAGGGATGAGAATTCCAGGGCAGAGGCACGGAGCCCACTGCAGCGCGGCGCCCGCGGGCAGCCAGAGACTTCTTTCTCCCGGAGCCTCCCCAGCTCCCTAAAAGGCCCAGCTGGGGCAACTGCCCAGGCGTTGCCCGCACGCGAGCATCTGCCCTTTCGGACGGTCTAACAACTCGCAGTTTCCCTACTCCTGCAGCAGTGGGGGCCTCACAGGGTGCTCAGTCTCCATGCCCACCACCTCCATCCCCGCCCACCCACCACCACTCCTCCTCCTCCTCCTCCTCCTCCTCCTCCCCCTCCTCCTCCTCCTCCTCCTCCTCCTCCCCCTCCTCCTCCTCCTCCTCCTCCTCCTCCTCCTCCTCCTCCTCCCCCTCCTCCTCCTCCTCCTCCTCCTCCTCCCCCTCCTCCTTCTCCTCCTCCTCCTCCTCCTCCTCCTCCTCCTCCTCCTCCTCCCCCCCCTCCTCCTCCTCCCCCCCCTCCTCCTCCTCCTCCCCCTCCTCCTCCTCCCGCTCTCGCTCCGGGCACCCGCAGACGGCAGCCGCCTCGGAGCGAGCCGCCCCAGCTACGCTGCCTTTGCAGGATTCGGAGGCAGGGAGGCAGCAGCCACTTGCTGCCCGGCCGCTGGGGCTGGGGATGCCAGCGCAGCCCCCGGCGGAGCTCCGGGTGTCAGGGCGGCCTCGGGGAGCCATGATCTACTACACCGCAGTGCCAGCGTCAGGAGCCTCCAGCGCCGGTCGGCCACTGCGGGACGCCCGCGGCCCCGCCCCCGCCCCCCAACGCAGCCCCAGACACAAACACCCGGCCCCCGGGCCCTCCCCAGCCTGAACTGAACCCGGGGACGCCCCACACCCTCGCTGCCGGCGCGCACGGCTCCCAGACTGGCTGCGCCGAGCCTCCTCGTCGGCGCGCCGCCGCCGCCACGCAGCCCTCCGGCCTGGCCTCCCCCAGTTGCTCGCCCACAGCTTCGCGGCCGTCCCCCAAACGCCTCAGACTGGGATACCGGGAAGTGAACCTCCGGCACTCGACTCCCCGAATCACCTGCATTTGCATTTTTATATAATGCACTGCAAGTTTCCCGGTTGGAGCCTTTGAAATAGGGGCGCATGATTACCGAAGCCTGAAGCTGGAACCCACTGCCCGGCTCATCCCACCCGCGGGACTCGGGCGCAGGGTTTTGACACTGCTTTTTCCGGGGGGGGGGGTGAAATTGCATATATTGGAGGGGGCTGGGCTTGTCTTCTCCGTCTGGGGTTCCCCCAGGCATAAGCCCAGCTCAAGTATTCCCAGTGGCAGGAGGTGTCGGAGGCAGACGGGGGAATGAGTTAATACTCGTGCACGGAGAGCTCGACGGGGGAGGGAGGCGGGGGCTGACGGAGGAGCGGGGCGCGAGGGAGAGGGCCTCTTTTACTTTGGTAAAGGTGATGGGGTGGCGAATATTGTGCAAGCTAATCAGAAAGTCTAGAGCAGGTCCTCGGCACCTAGCTACGTCCCTGAACCTGCTGCAGAAGTAGAGAGAGCTCGCGGTTCTTTCTCTTGGCAACTACGGAACCTTCAGCTGCCTCGGGCAAAACCTTAAGCCACAGCCCTTTCAGTATTCCACCGAACATAGGCAACCAAATACATTAAAAAAAAAAAAAAAAAAAAAGTTTCCTCCTCCCTCCTAGTGATGGATTGTGTCACAGCCAAGAGATGCTGATAATGGTTTTCGGGCTCAGAGACGCCGATCCAGCTGTTACTTGTTTATCCATCAACACCTCTATATGCAACACTGTCCTGGTTCCTTTTCTGTTTCCCCTGCCTTCCTGCATAGCAGAACTGCAGATCTAGCTCAATGAGCAACAGACAGGTTATCATGAGGAAAAACATAACACGATGCATGTTTTGCTTACCAGTTGGGTTCTTGTTTTTCTTAAGACTCTTGCCACAAAGACACTGCAGCATATGCGTTCCTTTGCTGAAAATGTTCCAAAGAAACCACATTGATTTGGGCGAAAAGCAATCCAGCAGCTTAGACACCCTGAGAAAGAAGAGATCCTTGTGGTTGCATAATAATAATTTGAAATCAGTTCTCCTGAAGAGGGGCACCGGTTTTACCATAGGAAAAACGATAATATTCCGGATCTTCTCCCAGTTTTTTCCCCTCACGTGGTATATTTCTTTGAGACTTCTCAGTGATTGTTTTTTTTCGGCCAGGGTGAATGATTTATCCCCCTCGATCACCACTGGATTATTATCAAAGGGTTGGAAAAAAAATCCTTTTTCAGCATGAAGCCAAACAAAAAAGCAAAGAAATCCCAACAGAGACCAGAACTAATCAGAGAGAACAGTAATGCACAAAAGATCCCCAAAGAGAAAACCATAGCCTTTTACTTGATCGCTATGAGGATGGGTGGGTCTGCAGAAGGCAAAGCAGGATTCATCTCACTGAGAGAAGACTGCCATTGTGTAGCCCCTAGGAGAGAAGGAAAAAAAAAAAAAAAAGAAAAGGGAAAGAAAGAAAGAAAGAAGAAAAAAAAGAAAAGAAAAGAAAAAAAAAAAAAAACCACCAGCACACACACACACACCAATACCACCTCCGAGATCGAGTCTGACAGCCGAAGACAGAGCCTCCCTTCTCCCAGTGTCGGGTTTTTTTGTTTTTTTTTTTTAATAATCAATCGCCAGTGCTCAGTGGGATCGGATTGAACCTGCAGTTCTCAATCACCACGAAGAAAAGATGCAAATCCAGGTGCCCCCTCCCCTGGTCAGGCTGGTAGTAGGTAGAGAGCGCCACAGATCCCCTTCCTCCTTCCCGTCACTCTCCCAGTTTCCAACAACGGTGAGCATGAGGAAAATCTCCCCTCCGGATTCCTCGCCCAGCCTCGGATGTGAGTTACAGGCATTAGGGGGAGGAGGAGGAGGAGTTGAAGTTTGCATTGAAAAGACTGGCTTTCCATGACGTAGCCACGTGCTTTCAGACCCGTCACCAGTGAGATGCTTCAACCCGCCCGGGGAGGGCAGTGTCACTGCAGTCTTTCCTCTACTTTCTCCCTGGAAGTCCCCCATCGCCGGCACCCCAGCCCCAGCCCCAGCCCCGGACCCTCTCCCTGCTCTGCCCAGAATGAGCCGGCGGGCTGCTTGCTCCTGGAGCCATCTAACAGAGCCTTCTGTTAAAAGTGAATTTTGAAAAGGAAAATTAACAATTACAATGAATAAATCTTAGAAAATAGGTGAGAGGGAAGGGGTTTGAAGAGAAACAGTAGTTTATGACCACCCCTCACAGCCAAAATGAGCTCCACCTTACTTACATTTGCAAAAACAGCATAGAAAGCCTCTAAAACATTAAGGAAAACTCAAGTCCCTTTGGTTCTTATTATTTGAATTCTACTTAAAGTGCTGTTTGAAAAATATAGACTAGGCATATGGCAAATAGGTACTTAAGAAACAGCCTGTTAAAAAGACAACCACTAACATCTAGGTGGCAAACTTATTTTGGTTGAGAGGGTCATATGAGAAAAGTTAACGCCTTTTCTAGACAGACAATCCATTATCTTCCAAAATAATTTTTTTTAACAGAAAGCTTTCTGTTTAGATTACACCTTATTCATTGCTTGTTTCCGCAACCATTAATTGAACTAACATTAAATTCCCCTTCGTTGCCTCCTCATCTACACTAACATAAAACCGTGTCAACTGCCACCACTACCTAACCTAACAAAACGGACAAATTTTCTATTTCACCAGGATATAACCCAGCTTCCTACTTCCTCAGAAAATCAAAAGATTTAAGGCAGGACTAAAGATTTTGTCTTATTTGGGGAAAAAATACAATGTATAAAATATACAAGCTAGTACACAGAATAATATCACGAACTCCAGAATACTCATGACTCAAATTAATGAATATTAGCATTTCAACATATTTGTGACCTGAGCATTTCAGAAAAGTAAAATTGACCTCTCTCACTCTTGTTAAGTAAATGAATTAAAGTTATGCCAATTTATTTCCATTTTATGGAAAACTGACATAAAATTTTTAACTAATTTAAAAATATGTTTTTAGGGGATGCCTGGGTGGCTCAGCCAGTTAAGCAGCTGCCTCCGGCTCAGGTCATGATCCAAGGGTCCTGGGATTGAGCCCCACATCAGGCTCTGTACTCAGTTAGGAGTCTGCCTCTCCCTCTCCCCCTGCTCCTTCTCTCTCTCAAATAAATAAATAAATAAAATATTTTTTAAAATAAAAATATGTTTTTAGAAGCTCCATTTTAATTCCAAAAACTTAAAATCTCAAAATGCCTCTACTGCATGGGATATCAAACTATTTTTTTTTTCAAATTTTATTTATTTATTTGCCAGAGAGAGACACAGCTAGAGAGGGAACACAAGCAGGGGGAGCAGGAGAGGGAGAAGCAGGCTTCCCACTGAGCAGGGAGCCCGATGCGGGGCTCAGTCCCAGGATGCGGGGCTTGATCCCAGGATGCGGGGCTCTATCTCAGGATGCGGGGCTCGATCCCAGGACCCTGGGATCATGACCTGAGCCGAAGGCAGACGCTTAACGACTGAGCCACCCAGGCGCTCCATATCAAACTATTTTAAAAACAAAGAGCTGTTGATTTGTTGTTGAGGATTGAGTAAAGAAATTGACTTTAAAAAAATTAACCCCTTGACTAGCAGTTAGCAAAAAATAAAAACTATAGTAACTTTCCCACTACTAGAGTTTTCTAATATCTGAGATGAGATGTCAAAATTTGCGTCCAATATCCAGAACCCTTTTGGGAAACATTAGTCAATTTCAGGTAAGATAGGAAAAGAATCTAAAACAAATAAATTCTATTAAAGTTAAGAAACTGGAAAGTTAAATAGTGATGCCCTCAATGTGCCAAAAAGTCATGTCATAAAGCTCAAGGAAATTACCAAGATTAATGGCAGTATAAATAAAGTTTGGGAAGTAGAGAAAGAGGGAATACTAAGAGTCTATAAAATTAATGCCAAATGACTTAGGAGATGCAGTCTGGAAAAAAATGAACAGAATTCCTTTTTGGAAGAGGAAAAAAGGGATAGCATTGCCAAATAATTAGGAAAGCATTTTTTATATTAATCATCAGGGACGAATACCGTATGCTGCTTCTATAACATTCTGGTGTCCTGTCGTGGGTTCCAGAATATCCCAATATGGACAGATGCCAGAGAAACAGTTGAATCAAAAATATTCTCCCATCAAGTTCTTCTGAATTCACATAGCTCTAAGGTTCTATAAAAGCTTGTTGAGTTCCCTGAGGTATTTCATAAGTAGAGTAAAAGCTGGGGAGATGTTCTGTAATTATTGAAACTTTTTACATGCTAAGCTTGTGTAAAAAGAACACCTCTCATACTGGTTTTTCTTGCATTTCCAAATTGGACTCTCTTCTTTACATTGTGACCATGAATTTGATCCCTCCTCAAATAAAGATTTACTGCCAGAAAGCTATGGTTTGTTTTGCTATATATTGGTGGAAATTATTACATCTTTGTCCTATCACCTAAGGAACAACACAAAAGGTCATTAACTGTGACTACTATTTGTTGAGAATCTATTATTCCAGGCACTGTGTTAGTTGCTTCTCATCTTTTATGCTATTTAAAGGAAAGATAAATCTTTTAGTATAATGTATGAGATTTCTATAGTTCTTTTCTATATTTATTGATACATTATTTACTTATGTTACATAGGCTATTGTTAACATTATTAAACAAACAAACAAAAAATACCAAATATTTTTGTCTGGAAAAGATGGCCTAACCCTGGTTCCAAAGGACTTGCAATTTCTGATGACCTCTCAGTCACTCAATTCAATTATTCAACCATTATTTATTGAGGATTGGCCCCCCTGTGAAAGTAACTGTACAGGACTCCATGTTGCATGCTAACCTATAAAATTAAACCAGCTCTCCAGTTACACAATGAAGAAGACCAAGAGTAGTCCAAGAATCAACATAGGTTTCTGGGCGCCTCCAGTTTAGGGATGATCTGAAGATACTTTCATTGACCTGAGTTCAGACCATTATTTAAGTTGTGTTTTGGAAGACATCAAAATTGTTACTTATGCTTTGCCATGTTACAAATCACTATTAGATGACAAAAATTAAAACTATTAGAAAAAAATGAAAGCTTTAGAATACATGTAAGTAAAGCTAAAATGAGGAAAGCCTCATCATAACTGTAAGAATTAACAGTAAAATTTGTAGCATATATAGGTAGGAAAGCCTGTTTTCATTAGGCTGAGGTAAAATAAACCCATTACTCACAATCAAGGTCGTCTAAAAATTAAAAATATCTACAGCACATCATAGTTAACTAACCTAAAGATAAGTATAATGACTAGAATTTCAGAACACAATAAAGTATACATTTTATTTTAATATAGAATATATGAACTTTCATGAGATTAGGAATCAAAAGTCGTTGTACTGTCTTAGCATGCTTTTTCTAATTATTCCCAGGAGTTACTTTTCTATATCATTCTTTCTTTTAATAATAAAATCCCACTCCCCACCACAGTTTTGGAAGGACACATGGGTACCCAGGTAGTGAAGAGAATGCCCAACCTCCGTCACAGTGAAGTTGTGGTCATGTGACTGGGTTCTGGCCAGTGAGATGTGAGCAGAAGAAGACTTCCTGGTCACATTCTTCAAAGGACGTTGCTTGTCTTCACTTCTCCCTTTTGTCTTTTCTATGAGCCGAAAGCAATGGTGTGAGCAGCTTTAACAGGACAGACAGGTACACAGCCCAGGAATGAATTACTGGATAGAAGAAACTCGGTCAGAGCAGCCAGCCTGTCCCTGACTGCCCACTTACCTCTGCACTTGAGGTGACAGAGAAAGAAACTTTTATTTTGTTTGAGCCACTGTATTCTGTATGAATTTATCACAGTAGCTTATTCTCTCTACTATCTTAGGGACTGGTCTGCAATTAATAACACACTTATATTTGGGTTACTTATGTTAAAGAACACAAGGACATCACTTATAACCTATGGCTTTATTCACAGCCTGTGACTCCCCTTTCCATTCACTAAAGCAGCTACTGATCTCTTAGCTGCCTTTTATAAACTCTCCTGCTTATCCTCACCTCCGGTGCAAACATTCCATTGTCAGATCTTACTTCCTTTGTCTCCTTCTCTGCCCTGCTCCCTGCCCATCAGATGTAACCTATGACAGTTTGGAGCTTATGACCATAACAGTAAAGCTTTGATCACTGAAAGGAGAAGAAAGACAGAGGGCATAGTGATTGGAAGAAAGAGGAGGTCAGAAAGAGAAAAAGAAGACCAGTGTGTACACGAGGACCTCCATGTCTATATTTACCTTGTAAGCCTTTTTCAAAAAGATGGTGCCTTTTGTTGTTTGCACACTTATTCCTTCTCTATTGTTGCTGTTAACGATTATCATCACTTTTTAAGGGATAATTCTAAATTCCGCATCACTGTACCACTCATTAGTACCATTTTCCCCCTCTCTCCATGTGCCCACATTGACTCATGGTGTCAAAACCTCTACTCCTCTCTCCTAGAGGGAACAGTCTGGAAGGGCAACTCCAGTCCTTCTCTCTGTCCCCTCCCAATTTCTTAATGATGAAGGAATGACTTAAGTGGCCCAGCCCCTTCTTCTCTCTCTTTCTTTAGATTTGTCTGCCTGCAAAAAGTTTTCAGACTCCTGTCCTTCAGCTCTTCTCTGTGGGAAACACTGGGTCAGCCTCAGAGCCCACAGCCTGTCTTCTAGAAGTAGGTCTGGAGACTGCTCTCTCTCTGTACTCCTCAGGGGGCTTGGAGAAAACATTGTCAGTGTCCCATATAGATCGATTTCCTTTGGCCATATCAGTGTGTTCTAGTTGATTTCCAGCTTCCAGTATCTCCATCTCTGTACCTGAGGGATTTTTTTTTT